GTAACCTGCCTGCCCTGTGACCCGTCCTGCCCGTGGAGCCTGCCTGCCCTGTGACCCGTCCTGCCCGTGGAGCCTGCCTGCCCTGTGACCCGTCCTGCCCGTGGAGCCTACCTGCCCTGTGACCCGTCCTGCCCGTGGAGCCTGCCTGCCCTGTGACCCGTCCTGCCCGTGTAACCTGCCTGCCCTGTGACCCGTCCTGTCCGTGTAACCTGCCTGCTCTCTGTCCTGTGACCCGTCCGGCTCACCCTGCTCGGCTAGGATGTGAACCCACAAGTCATTAGGCAACGTAGGATCGAGAGGTTGGCAACAGTCTCTTTGTTTTGCCCATCCGGACTGAAGGTTACGGGAGTTTATTATTCGTGGTAACGTAAGAGAGTCTTGGGGAGAGGGTATAGTGCGGGTGGTCAGTGTCACGGCCGTCCGTTGTCACAGTCAAGTGTCCAGTGTAACGCGGTATGTGGAGGCTGGTGTTCCGGCAGCGGTCAAGACCAGTTACGGACCTTGATGAGCAGACCGCCGACACGGAACCAGGTCACTGTGACTTACGCTCCACGGATCACTGGTGTATGTGAACTTTGGCGGGGGTGTTGCGTTCAGTGTTCCTCTCATCAACGCTCCGTTTTTGTTCACGCCATCACGAGAGTTGCCGTTTGTTATCTGCTTTCATGTTACCGTTTAGTGGTGGTCGTGACGGGGGGCAGTTTTAGCGCCGGGCCAGCCGGGGGCAGATTAACTTTTGCCCAACCTCTTCGACTGGACGGTACAGCCACGGCCTTGCTTCTTGCACGTCGGTGTTCAATTCCCGACCTTCCAAGTGGCAGCCCTCCTCGGATACTAAGATCCAAGCTCGTAAATCCAGCCGCCAAACCACTTGTTTATGTAACCCCGTCCTCGACGCGAGTCCATTACATCCAGCGGTCGACCCCACTGACGCATTCATAAATTTATACATTCTGTTCATTGAAAACGGAAATTTTTCTCAAATATAAATAATAATATAAATTTTATGGGGGTACCACCTCTGGTGCAATTGTAGGGACCCATAGCCTAGAAGAAGAAAATAAAGTGTTCCGAGAAGACCTTGTGGATTCTCACTGAACACTTTAATCATTTGTTCTCCAACCACATTTATTATTTTTTTGTATTTATTTTGTTATAATATATTAGGATATTGTGCATATATAGGCATAGGTTAGGTTAGGTGTTTAGGTTCTGTTGGCGATTATTTGTATTTGTAGTACGTGGGTGAAGCATTTACAGCGTTGTGGTTCGAACACAAGTCGTCAGTGAAGCACTTGTTCCGGAAGTGTTCGGACGTCAGCAGTTGTGAGTCGTGTGTAAAAAAATTTCATTCGTAAACATCGGAGGGGTTGGCGGGTGGATGGAATCACTTTTGGGTCCTTGGAGGACGGGCTGGGTGAGGACGGGCTGGGTGAGGACGGGCTGGGTGAGGACGGGCTGGGTGAGGACGGGCTGGGTGAGGACGGGCTGGGTGAGGACGGGCTGGGAGAGGACGGGCTGGGTCAGGACGGGCTGGGTGAGGACGGGCTGGGTGAGGACGGGCTGGGTGAGGACGGGCTGGGTGAGGACGGGCTGGGTGAGGACGGGCTGGGTGAGGACGGGCTGGCTTATGAAGGAAAAACGGTTTAAACACGACTCACAACTGCTGACGCCCGAACACTTCTGGAACAAGTGCTTCACGGACGAAGTTTGTTCAAAGGAAATTATTTTGTTTATATGAGAACAAACATATTTTTAATACACTGTATATTAACATTGATGAATGCGTCTGGGGAGGACGGCCGCTGCTTTAACCAGCCTAGTGTGAGGACTGGTTGCAAGTGGTTGGGGCACCATTCCGTCCCTTTGTCCTATCCCAGATCCTTATGCTCGTATCCCTTTCCAGTGCTACGTCATCCCTTATGACGTAGCACTTTCTGATAAATTACCTTATCTCGTCAAACGTTTACACTTACGAGACCTTTATATCATTCTTCGATCATGGCAGCGTAAGCTGTATTAAACAGCTTAAGAGCCTCCAAGCTTCACCACACAAGGTCATTACCGTTACTAACAGCCTCGTTGTGCTTGGCAGCTCAATATATGTAAACTAAGCTGCTATGATTAAGCAGAGATGTACAGGTTCCGTCGGTGAACACGCTTCTGGAGCTGGTTCTCCGGGATGATTGTTCATAAGAACACTGTAGGGCATGTGTGGCAGGTCAGCGCTGACCTCTGGACCGCTGCTGACCTCTGGACCGCTGCTGACCTCTAACCGCTGCTGACCTCTGGACCGCTGCTGACCTTTGGACCGTTGCTGACCTCTGGACCGCTGCTGACCTCTGGACTGCTGCTGACCTCTGGACCGTTGCTGACCTCTGGACCGCTGCTGACCTTTGGACCGTTGCTGACCTCTGGACCGCTGCTGACCTCTGACCGCTGCTGACCTCTGGACCGGTGCTGACCTCTGGACCGCTGCTGACCTCTGGACCGCTGCTGACCTCTGGACCGCTGCTGACCTCTGGACCGCTGCTGACCTCTGGACCGCTGCTGACCTCTGGACCACTGCTGACCTCTGGACCGCTGCTGACCTCTGACCGTTGCTGACCTCTGGACCGCTGCTGACCTCTGACCGCTGCTGACCTTTGACCGCTGCTGACCTCTGACCGTTGCTGACCTCTGGACCGCTGCTGACCTCTGACCGCTGCTGACCTTTGACCGCTGCTGACCTCTGGACCGCTGCTGACCTCTGGACCGCTGCTGACCTCTGGACCGCTGCTGACCTCTGACCGCTGCTGACCTCTGGACCACTGCTGACCTCTGGACCGCTGCTGACCTCTGAACCGCTGCTGACCTCTGACCGCTGCTGACCTCTGACCGCTGCTGACCTCTGGACCGCTGCTGACCTCTGAACCGCTGCTGACCTCTGACCGCTGCTGACCTCTGACCGCTGCTGACCTCTGGACCGCTGCTGACCTCTGAACCGCTGCTGACCTCTGACCGCTGCTGACCTCTGACCGCTGCTGACCTCTGGACCGCTGCTGACCTCTGGACCGCTGCTGACCTCTGGACCGCTGCTGACCTCTGGACCGCTGCTGACCTCTGGACCGCTGCTGACCTCTGGACCGCTGCTGACCTCTGGACCGCTGCTGACCTCTGGACCACTGCTGACCTCTGGAACAACCACTGCTGACCTCTGGACCACTGCTGACCTCTGGAACAACCACTGCTGACCTCTGGAACAACCACTGCTGACCTCTGGAACAACCACTGCTGACCTCTGGACCGCTGCTGACCTCTGGACCGCTGCTGACCTCTGGACCGCTGCTGACCTCTGGACCGCTGCTGACCTCTGGACCGCTGCTGACCTCTGGACCGGTGCTGACCTCTGGACCGGTGCTGACCTCTGGACCGGTGCTGACCTCTGGACCGCTGCTGACCTCTGGACCGCTGCTGACCTCTGGACCACTGCTGACGTTCACCGTAGCTTGAGTACGTTCACCGTAGCTTGAGTACGTTCACCGTAGCTTGAGTACGTTTACCGTAGCTTGAGTACGTTCACCGTAGCTTGAGTACGTTCACCGTAGCTTGAGTACGTTCACCGTAACTTGAGTACGTTCACCGTAGCTTGAGTACGTTCACCGTAGCTTGAGTACGTTCACCGTAGCTTGGGTACGTTCACCGTAGCTTGAGTACGTTCACCGTAGCTTGGGTACGTTCACCGTAGCTTGAGTACGTTCACCGTAGCTTGAGTACGTTCACCGTAGCTTGAGTACGTTCACCGTAGCTTGAGTACGTTCACCGTAACTTGAGTACGTTCACCGTAGCTTGAGTACGTTCACCGTAGCTTGAGTACGTTCACCGTAGCTTGAGTACGTTCACCGTAGCTTGAGTACGTTTACCGTAGCTTGAGTACGTTTACCGTAGCTTGAGTACGTTCACCGTAGCTTGAGTACGTTCACCGTAGCTTGAGTACGTTCACCGTAACTTGAGTACGTTCACCGTAGCTTGAGTACGTTCACCGTAGCTTAGGTACGTTCACCGTAGCTTGAGTACGTTCACCGTAGCTTGAGTACGTTCACCGTAGCTTGGGTACGTTCACCGTAGCTTGAGTACGTTCACCGTAGCTTGAGTACGTTCACCGTAGCTTGAGTACGTTCACCGTAGCTTGAGTACGTTCACCGTAACTTGAGTACGTTCACCGTAGCTTGAGTACGTTCACCGTAGCTTGAGTACGTTCACCGTAGCTTGAGTACGTTCACCGTAGCTTGAGTACGTTCACCGTAGCTTGAGTACGTTCACCGTAGCTTGGGTAATGTGAGGGAATGACGACATTCTTCATTTTTCACAAATTGAAAACACGACTTTCATCCTTCCTTCATTTTACAGTTGCTTAATTACTAATTCAGCTTAATTCAGTTACTTCCTTAATTACTAATTCAGTTCCTTAATTACTAATTCAGTTCCTTAATTACTAATTAATTTGGGTCGTGTGTTTGAATTAGATGAGAGACATTTTAAGCCTGGGACTGTCAATGGTTGTTAAGGCAGCGTAATTGTTGATATGGTGTTACTGCAGACGTTATCAAGTGGTTTAAACTATAGTTACACAATTTTCTTTTTCTCTTGTAGAAATACATGTGATATAATACGACTTGATATATGTATAAGAACTGCTGGGGCGGGAGCTGTTTGGTGGAATGTGTAGAGGTGGTATGAGGGTCAGGTGTTGCGGTATGAGGGTCAGGTGTTTGGGTATGAGGGTCAGGTGTTGGGGTATGAGGGTCAGGTGTTGGGGGTATGAGGGTCAGGTGTTGGGGGTATGAGGGTCAGGTGTTGGGGTATGAGGGTCAGGTGTTGGGGTATGAGGGTCAGGTGTTGGGGTATGAGGGTCAGGTGTTGGGGGTATGAGGGTCAGGTGTTGGGGTATGAGGGTCAGGTGTTGGGGGTATGAGGGGTCAGGTGTTGGGGTATGAGGGTCAGGTGTTGGGGTATGAGGGTCAGGTGTTGGGGGTATGAGGGTCAGATGTTGGGTTATGAGGGTCACATGTTGGGGTATGAGGGTCAGATGTTGGGTTATGAGGGTCAGATGTTGGGTTATGAGGGTCACATGTTGGGGTATGAGGGTCAGATGTTGGGTTATGAGGGTCACATGTTGGGGTATGAGGGTCAGGTATTGGGGTATGAGGGTCAGGTGTTGGGGTATGAGGGTCAGGTGTTGGGGTATGAGGCTCACATGTTGGGGTATGAGGGCCACATGTTGTAGTATGAGGGCCACATGTTGTAGTATGAGGGCCACATGTTGTAGTATGAGGGTCACATGTTGTAGTATGAGGGCCACATGTTGTAGTATGAGGGTCACATGTTGTAGTATGAGGGTCACATGTTGTAGTATGAGGGCCACTTGTTGGGGTATGAGGGCCACATGTTGTATGAGGGCCACATGTAGTATGAGGGCCACATGTTGTAGTATGAGGGCCACATGTTGTAGTATGAGGGCCACATGTAGTATGAGGGCCACATGTTGTAGTATGAGGGTCACATGTTGTAGTATGAGGGCCACATGTTGTAGTATGAGGGCCACATGTTGTAGTATGAGGGCCACATGTTGTAGTATGAGGGCCACATGTTGTAGTATGAGGGCCACATGTTGTAGTATGAGGGCCACATGTTGTAGTATGAGGGCCACATGTAGTATGAGGGCCACATGTTGTAGTATGAGGGCCACATGTTGTAGTATGAGGGCCACATGTTGTAGTATGAGGGCCACATGTTGTAGTATGAGGGCCACATGTTGTAGTATGAGGGCCACATGTTGTAGTATGAGGGCCACATGTAGTATGAGGGCCACATGTTGTAGTATGAGGGTCACATGTTGTAGTATGAGGGCCACATGTTGTAGTATGAGGGCCACATGTAGTATGAGGGCCACATGTTGTAGTATGAGGGTCACATGTTGTGCTACAACCATTTTATTTGTTTTAAATTCTAATTTTAATTAAAACTCGTGGAAATTATCAGTACATGTGGCTCTATTTCACAGTTGGACCCTCACTATACGTTATATGACGTCTGCCGCCGTATAAGGGTTAATGGTGACATTATAGTCTTTCCTGTGACTTACTTGCGTCTCCTCCTTCCATATATGTCCATCTTTGTGCTGTCGTTCCTCTGATAACGTGCCTTGAGATTTTGAATGTCGTTATCATGTCTCCATGTGCCTCTCTGAACCTGTGACCAGCCTCTACAACACTTTCACATGAACAGAACATTCATACCGAATAAAAAAAAAAAGCAAAAAAAGTTATTAAAACTTTGACTTTTTCTTTTAAGGACTTGAGAATGAGAACAATTCTTATTAACTCAGAGGCGCAAGGAACTCTTGGCAAACATGAAACAAATACAAATTCAGACAGGTGTGTTGTCTTTGTAAATGTACGAGCAATGATAACAGACTTTGTTTCCCCTCTGTCCAGACGAACAATTGAACTGCCTTGTTTGGTGGTTTACTGTTTGTTTGTGACTGTTGGTGAGTGGTTGTTTGTTGTGACCTGTTGTTTGTGATGAATGGTTCAGTTAGTGCACCTTAGTGATGAGTTGGCGCTCCTTTAGTGATGAGTTGGTGCTCCTTTAGTGATGAGTTGGTGCTCCTTTAGTGATGAGTTGGTGCTCCTTTATTGATGAGTTGTGCTTCTTATTGGGTTGGTAATCCTTGAGGATGAGTTAGTAATCCTTGAGGATGAGTTAGTGGCCAGATTGTGAGGAGACTGTGTACACCTTCCCCTACACATCACTAATGAGTACTCTGATGACACAGGTGATGTCACCAGGTAGTGACGTCAGATGACGTGACATACACATCCAGAACACAAGTCAAAGTTTAAACAGGAAGATATTAAAGTCAGTGACATCCGTCTGATGTATCTCAATAATTCACTTCACTTAATTACCACTTAGGTTACTTAACATAGCACTAAGCACAAGTTTAACAAGTAACGGACATGACTCTTATATAGTGAGAAGTGACCATCCTGGTCCCAATGGTTGGCCTCGGAGGAGAGAACATCACTTGATGACCTACTTGAGATGAGTCGAGAAAGAGACCTGGGTGTGGACGTAACACCTAATCTATCTCCTGAGGCACATATAAATAGGATAACGACAGCAGCGTACTCTGTACTGGCAAAAGTTAGAACATCATTCAGAAACCTAAGTAAGGAGGCATTTAGGGGGCTTTACACTGCCTACGTAAGGCCAGTCTTAGAGTATGTCGCCTCATCATGGAGTCCTCGCCTGAAGAAACACATAAGGAAACTGGAAAAGGTTCAGAGGTTTGCGACGAGACTCGTCCCGGAGTTACGACGGATGGGATATGAGGAGCGCCTGAAGGAACTGTGCCTTACGACATTAGAAAAAAGAAGGAAGAGGGGGGACATAATAGGAACGTATAAAATGCTCATGGGGATTGACAGAGTGGAAATAGATGAAATATTCACACGGAATAGTAACAGAACGAGGGGACATGGGTGGAAGCTGGAAACTCAGATGAGTCACAGAGATGTTAGGAAGTTTTCTTTTAGCGTGAGAGTAGTGGGGAAATGGAATGCACTTGGGGAACAGGTTGTGGAAGCAAATATTATTCATAATTTTTAAACTAGATATGATAGGGAAATAGGACCGTAGTCATTGCTAAAAACAACTGATAGCACGAAAGCCGGGATCCAAGAGTCAATGCTCGATCCTGCAGGCACAAATAGGTGAGTAAAATAGGTGAATATACACACACATATATATGTGTGCGTGTCTTCTTGACAAGCTGGCTCCAAAAGTTTCTTGTTGCCACGTCCAAGAGTTCTCTGCACCTCCATGTGGGTCCCCATTCTCCCAGTCTATCTTTCTATGGTTGAAGTCGCCCATGATTAAGAGTCTGGAGCCATTCCAGCAGGCAACTGAAGCTGCTCTATTACAACCATGGCAACCATTAATTTAATAGAGAGAGCAGCTTCAGTTGCCTGCAGGAATGGCTCCAGACTCTTAATCATGGGCGACTTCAACCATGGAAAGATAGACTGGGAGAATGGGGACCCACATGGTGGTGCAGATACGTGGAGAGCTAAACTCTTGGAAGTGGCAACAAGGAATTTTCTGAGCTAACATGTCAAGAGACTCACAAGAGTGAGAGGCAATGATGAACCAGCTAGATTCGACCTGATATTCACCCTGAATGAGCCAGATATAAGGGAAGTCAAATGTGAAGCCCCCATAGGAATGAGTGACCACAGTGTATTGACATTTGAGTATCTGGTGGAGGTAGGGATAACCTATCCAAGGATGGGATCGGAAAAGAAAAGGCTAAATTATCTAAGAAGAAAATACGACGAGATGAGGAACTTCCTAATGGGAATACCATGGGAAATAGAACATAGAGACAAGACTATACAAGATATGATGGACTATGTCACCCAGAAGTGCCAGGAAGCTGCAGACAGGTTTATCCTGGGCCAAAAGGAGAAAAATTAAAACGAACAGAAGAATCCGTGGTTCAGTCCGGAATGTAAGGTAGCGAAGCAGTTGAGTACAAGAACATGAATAAACTACATGAATAACAGAATACCAGAGAGCAGGGAGAGATATCAGAGGGCCAGAAATGAGTACCTCAGAGTGAGGAGGGAAGCAGAGAGACTGTATGAAAATGACATCGCGAGTAAAGCCAAGACCCAACCAAAGCTGCTCCACAGCCATATCAGGAGGAAAACAGCAGTGAAGGAACAAGTGATGAAACTGAGAAAAGGGGAGAACAGATTCACAGAGAATGACAAGGAGGTGTTTGAAGAACTCAACAAGAGATTCCAGGAGGTCTTCATAATAAAGCAAGGAGAAGCCCCTGTACTAAATGAGGAGGCAAACCAAGCAACCTTGGAGGAAATTGACCTCACCAGTGATGAGGTCAAAAGAAATCTGTTGGAGCTGAATGTGACAAAGGCTGTTGGGCCTCACAGAATCTCACCGTGGATACTAAAGAAAGGTGCAGAAGCACTATGTGTGCCACTCTCTAAGGTGTATAACAGGTCACTGGAAAGGGACAATATATTACCGACCCTGGGCCATAATGGCTCGAAGGGTTATTTGGCTAATAGACGATGCAATAATAGCTAATAGACAAAACAGTAGTGACACATTTGGTGGATACAACACAGGTCAGGTGTGTGGTCTACACCAGCAGGTCAGGTGTGTGGTCTACACCAGCAGGTCAGGTGTGGGGTCTACACCAGCAGGTCAGGTGTGGGGTCTACACCAGCAGGTCAGGTGTGTGGTCTACACCAGCAGGTCAGGTGTGTGGTCTACACCAGCAGGTCAGGTGTGTGGTCTACACCAGCAGGTCAGGTGTGTGGTCTACACCAGCAGGTCAGGTGTGGGGTCTACACCAGCAGGTCAGGTGTGTGGTCTACACCAGCAGGTCAGGTGTGTGGTCTACACCAGCAGGTCAGGTGTGTGGTCTACACCAGCAGGTCAGGTGTGTGGTCTACACCAGCAGGTCAGGTGTGTGGTCTACACCAGCAGGCCAGGTGTGTGGTCTACACCAGCAGGTCAGGTGTGTGGTCTACACCAGCAGGTCAGGTGTGTGGTCTACACCAGCAGGTCAGGTGTGTGGTCTACACCAGCAGGTCAGGTGTGTGGTCTACACCAGCAGGTCAGGTGTGTGGTCTACACCAGCAGGTCAGGTGTGTGGTCTACACCAGCAGGTCAGGTGTGTGGTCTACACCAGCAGGCCAGGTGTGTGGTCTACACCAGCAGGTCAGGTGTGTGGTCTACACCAGCAGGTCAGGTGTGTGGTCTACACCAGCAGGTCAGGTGTGGGGTCTACACCAGCAGGCCAGGTGTGTGGTCTACACCAGCAGGTCAGGTGTGTGGTCTACACCAGCAGGCCAGGTGTGTGGTCTACACCAGCAGGTCAGGTGTGTGATCTACACCAGCAGGTCAGGTGTGTGGTCTACACCAGCAGGTCAGGTGTGTGGTCTACACCAGCAGGTCAGGTGTGTGATCTACACCAGCAGGCCAGGTGTGGGGTCTACACCAGCAGGTCAGGTGTGAGAACACTTCCACAACAGTGTACAGGGACGCTCCGCCTCCACCCAGCTGACATTCACTAAACAACTGTGACTTACGCGTTGCTCGCCTCGTAAACTGGTTGGGATGGGTTGATTTTCTTGGTTAACGAGACTTTGTTTACTGGATCACTCGACCTTTTAGATGGCCTCTTTAATTAACGCTGCGAAGAGATACAGATTGTAGCGATGTGGTCTTCATCCTTCCTGTTTGTGTGTGTGTGTACTCACCTATTTGTGCTTGCGGGGTTTGAGCTCTGGCTCTTTGGTCCCGCCTCTCAACTGTCAATCAACTGGTGTACAGGTTCCTGAGCCTACTGAGCTCTGTCATATCTACATTTGAAACTGTGTATGGAGTCAGCCTCCACCACATTACTGCCTAATGCATTCTATTTACAAACTACTCTGACACTGATTTTTTTTTTTCTAACGTCTCTGTGGCTCATCTGGGGACTAAGTTTCCACCTGTGTCCCCTTGTTCGTGTCCCACCCGTGCTGAAGAGTTTGTCTTTGTTCACCCTGTCAATTCCCCTGAGAATTTTGTAGCTGGTTAACATGTCTCCCCTTACTCTTCTGTTTTCCAGGGATGTGAGGTTCAGCTCTTTTAGCCTTTCCTCGTAGCTCATTCCTCTCAGTTCCGGGACGAGCCTGGTGGCATACCGCTGAATCTTCTCTAACTTTGTCTTGTGTTTAACTAGGTATGGACTCCAGGCTGGAGCTGCATACTCCAGGATTGGTCTTACATAAGTGGTATACATTGTCCTGAACGATTCCTTACACAAGTTTCTAAAGGCAGTTCTTATATTGGCCAGTCTAGCATATGCCGCTGATGATATCCTTTTGATGTGGGCCTCT